ATGTATGTATGTATGTATGTATGTATGTATGTATGTATGTATGTATGTATGTATGTATGTATGTATGTATGTATGTATGTATGTATGTATGTATGTATGTATGTATGTATGTATGTATGTATGTATGTATGTATGTATGTATGTATGTATGTATGTATGTATGTATGTATGTATGTATGTATGTATGTATGTATGTATGTATGTATGTATGTATGTATGTATGTATGTATGTATGTATGTATGTATGTATGTATGTATGTATGTATGTATGTATGTATGTATGTATGTATGTATGTATGTATGTATGTATGTATGTATGTATGTATGTATGTATGTATGTATGTATGTATGTATGTATGTATGTATGTATGTATGTATGTATGTATGTATGTATGTATGTATGTATGTATGTATGTATGTATGTATGTATGTATGTATGTATGTATGTATGTATGTATGTATGTATGTATGTATGTATGTATGTATGTATGTATGTATGTATGTATGTATGTATGTATGTATGTATGTATGTATACTCATGATCACGGCTAACAATGCTGTTTAGTTACTTACTTTGCTCGACGGACCCGAAGAATACACATGGGTGACGATTCACGATTTACATGACACTAATGATGATGAGAAGTGTCGATGATCAGAACAACGTAGATGTAACGTACGCAGTAGCCTACTGTTTGATGAAATTACTTCTTCATTTGTTTTTCTTGTTCTTCGTATCCTCCTCGCTTCGTCTGCCCAGTGAGCTGCGATTTTTAACTTCTTTACCCACGATACCGATTTACATTCGCATCAAAGTAGAAATTTTGACAAGGCCGCAGGCGTTCTTAACAAGATATTTCGCACGGATTTCGGCTGCTTACGGTTATTCCGATACAATATGATGATTATGCGTTAATGATTATTGTTACCGTTACATATTTCTTGCATTTAATTTTTTTTTTCACCTCCTAGTCTTTCGGAGTATTGCTCTGTGAGATAGGACTTTTCACTTGTTTTTAATTAGCTAGTGAACGTTCATCAATTTTACTCGAGAATGCTAATAATACATGTATTCTTACAACTTTTTGCATAAAGGAGAAACGTAACCTTCGTCCTTTTTTTTTTTTTTGTTTGTTTTTTTCTATTACTTTACACGTATAGGTGTTTCTTTCTATAAACATGTTCTAGTTAATTTTTTTTCATCGTTAGACACTTTGATAAGATGCAGATTTATTATTAATTATGGTGTTGATTTTGAATTGTATGATTTATAAATTGTCGTCGTGCCATTCACGCATTAAAAGTGTAGTAATTTTTAAAATGTATTAAAAGGTTTTTGTTCTTCAAATTCCTTAATAACGTTAATTTTTTTCCATTTTCTTTATTTTGCATCGATATCTAAAGCTCTATACAAATTGAAATATTTACAAGAAAATGAAGAGTAATAACCCTTTCACGCACTTCACTTTTGTTTTTGTTTTTCTATTTTTTATGCACTTTCTTTTTATTCGTGACATGACTCGGAAGAAGAAAATAATTTGGACACGGGGTCAATTGTTATAATTGAATGGCTTTCACTGTAATCGGTCGTTCTCTTTCAAATAATTTTTATGAAATTTTTCATTTTCATTTTATTTTCTATCATTTTTTTTTTTTAAATTTTTTTATTGTATATAGTTTTTTGTTCTAAGTAATGTGGGTAATGATTATTTTAAAAAGCAAATCGAAAGCAATAAAATGAGCAGGGAGGTATTCCTTTCATCGACAGGTCAATTTTCTGCAGAATACCCACGCGATTATGGTGATTTTCTTTTCTTCGCTACGATGTTACGCGCTTATATACATATGTATACACGCACGCGCACATATATGTATGCGCGCGCGCGCGCGCGTACGTTTACGTGTATGTGTATGCATCGAGGATAGACAAAATAAACAAAAGGCAGTGTAAACGCGCTCGAATATATTTATATTTATATTTATATTTATTATGCTTGCTTAATTAGTTTCTTAGAGCACCAATTACGATTATGAATTTTCTTCGTGCTTAGACCATCGCCCATCGTGTTAATTAGAATGCTATATCAAGACTTGGCTTATTCCAGCGGGACAATAAGGGAGCGGAAATTTCGTTAAACAATAAAAAATACTCTGTATATCTAATATTCCCGGTAAATTAGTAGCTCATTACAAGAATACGAGCAAATGATGTGCCTCTTGCTTGGAATAAGAGATTCTCGTATACATTTAATTAGAATATCAAAATATCGAGCAAAAATATAAGGTTGCGCATAACGTTTCGCTTCTTAGTGATGTTACTTCTGCATTCTGGCGGAGAAAAATTCGTGACAACAAAACACAATCTTACAGCGGTGCTCAAAGAAATGCCTCATATTTGTGTGATGTGATTATATTAGCCAGGTAGCCTCAATTTCAGGTTAATGTTTGCACCAATATAATAATCAAAATGATGACCGCCACTGTTAGACAGATTACGATGAAGATCAATTTCTGTGAACAAAATAACGTTAACATCAAACGCGCTTATTGGTATCAAGAATTTTGCAAGCATCAAAAAACGCAATTTCCATGATGTCTTAATACTTTATCGAGGACTCTAAGCACTTTTGGCACTATGCAAAAATACACCTACGCTTCTTCTTATTATTTGAAAAAAAAAAAAAAAAAAAAAAAAAAAAAAAAAAATAAAATAAAATAAAATAAAATAAAATAAAATAAAATAAAA